AGGACTGGGACTGATGGGAAAAGAGGCTGCAGCTGGGACAATAAGGACTGGGACTGATGGGAAAAGAGGCTGCAGCTGGGACAATAAGAACTGGGACTAATGAATCAGGGAACAGGTGTAACCAGGCGGGGCAAGCTGACGGCACAGAAACAAACCAAACACAACGAAAACAGAAAAACACGACAAAATAAACTTCAGACAGAAAAACGCTGACGCCTGCAGGAAATGTTGTCCATCTCCGACTCAGCACAGGATCATAAAACATTTCAGAATGTTAACAAAAACTACTTCCTGTGTAAAAACAAACACTAAACGCAACTTTTGGCGCAATTTATTTCGACAAATTCAAAGGGTTTTTTTTATCCTTTGAGGCATTCAAACCTTCAAATTCAAGGTTTTTGTCTTGTAGAAAACAAAATTAATTTTCTTCTGTTCAGAAAAACGCTAAAAACAAGCCGCACTCTTTATAAGACGGCGCAGGAACCCTGTTGTTAGAGTAAAATCCGAATAAACCAGCAGAAATTACCGGCGTCCATCAAACATGAAAACTCACCCGGCGTGACAGAAACCACGTTTTTTTTCTGCGTTCCATTCAAAGTGTCCCGGTGTCAACAGTGTCAGGAACCGGCGGTGAATGTTTCTCTAAAGTGGCGGCGGAGAACATAATGACTCTGTTTCAGCGTGAAGCGCATCCTGGGTGCCTCCATTTAGGATGATTCACTTGGTTTCAGCAGCCGTGAAGAAATGTTTACCAAAGACCGCTGCGTTTACCGCCGTTCCCCAGAGGCCAAATGGCTGCACATTTAGCCGTCTCCCTGCCGAGGAACAAACTAAACTCATGCGTCCTCGCACATTACGCAGCCAGACTGTGCACATTTGTCCCCATAAATTATGGTGGAGTGCAGCACGCAGGTGTGCCGGAGCAGCAGGACACTGCAGCACAATACAAAGTTGTGTTCATCGATTTGCCTTAAACGTGCGCCGAGATAAACGCGTTATTGCGGCACGATAAAGCAGTTTGACTTAGTTGTACTCTGATTTGGACAGAAATGTACCCGGGGCTGTGCTTTCGCCTAAAATAATAAAATGCATCACAGCACATTGTTAGAGACGCTTTAATATCTTAAATTTATGCTGGTTTCTGCTTCTTGTATTGTTCCAGAGATCATTAAAGCCGCATCGGTTTCTTAGTTTGTCAAAATGTGGTTTAATGCGTTGGCAATTATGCACACAAATACAGAAAATGCACCGCAGAGGCGCAGCGGGAGGCTGGAGTTATAACTAACTATAACTCTCCCGCCTGATAATGAGCTTCTGAGTCCTCGCAACTGCTCAAGTTAATGTTCTCTACTGGAATGAGCTGCAGAGTGGCCCTTGGATAGTAATCATGGACACCCTGGCATTGATGAACCCCACCCTAACAGATATACTCTGGTCATTTAGTGCTGCGGAGCCATAAAAACGTACTTTTTTCTGCTTTATTGTTATTCAGTGTGCTATGGACTGCAGAGAAAGCAGCCGTGCAGCAACCCCAGACAAGAGTTTTAGGTGTGATGGAGTTTCTCTTTGGACTCACAGCTACGTTGTAAATGGCCATCCCCACGGCTCGATGGTCATTGATCTTCTCGGTGGAGACAGATTTCGTCTCGTAAGCCAGAAAAATGCCCAGCAGCAGCAGCAGACCCTTGTAGCCGTAAACCACGCCTAAAGGAAGAGGGGAAAAGAGTGAGAGATGCCACAAAGAACTAAAACCCACAAAACCCAGACATATTCTCAGACAGACACAAGGTGACCTCTGCTGTCAGTAACGTTTAGACCAAGTTCAGCGTTAACGCCAACACAAAATAAAGCAAGATTTTATGTATTTTAATTCTAGTTGTCTGGAAAAAGTCCCATAAAAGGAAACATTCAGTTTGGTGCAGCTGCTTTATTTTAAATCTATATTAATTCGCCCCTTTTTAACCCCAAAGTTGAACTTTTTGCTGCGTTATTTCAGCGTCACGACCACTTTATTTTCAGAAAACAGCTCCGTGACCTCATTGTCAGCTGATGATGATGTAAATAACGGTAGTGTTTTGTTCTTGGGGTGACTGACTACACCTGCCCAAGCACAACAGATGAAAATTAGACTTTTGGCTAATTCTGGTATGTCTACATTTTTCTAATGTTCATTAAAATACATTTATATTGACAAAGAAGCCAACAAAAATAGACTAATTTTTACAAATATTTTAACAAAAGATGAAGGCCTTTACTTGACACAGCATCTCCATACAGCAGAACCTTTATGATGAAAAGAGCCATTTTTACACCTTCATGCACGAAATTCAACGTGTCCAGAGCCGCAACAACCTGCAACAACCATTATCAACTGGTGGCTCATGGGCCACTTTAAGCTTGCTGGAGGAGACTTTTGTGGCCAGTAGGGGTGACATTTTAAAGCTAAAAATATATAATGATTTTTAACATTTATTAATATTATTACAATTGAAGACAAATGAAAAGACCAGATTCTTGTAAAGAGGTGGGGAAAGTTTTTTAAATTCAAAAACAAAACAAAATACAAGCTATGCAGACCTATTTATTTATTTTTTTATTGTGGGAAAAAATAATAAAGTATAGAAATAAAGCAAAAAGCTAAAGTGAGTATTTGCCAAAGAAATGACATGAAAACAGCTAAAACTAGTACTTTTTTGTTGTTTGTATAACAACCAATAAACTTCAGTTTTATGTTAGTTTTAGTCAAAGCTTGAAAAAGCAGCTGTGGAGGAACCAAAGAGCCGAACGTGGCTCTAGAGCCGTAAGTTGCAGACCCCTGCCATGCAACATGACTGAAGTGGGAATGGGCTAATGTGCATAGCATCCAAGATGCTACGTGATTTATTAGAATCACTTTTAGTTTTGTGCACTTGTTATTTGGAAAAAAAAAGTACTTAATTGACTAAATATTTTTCTAGTATCACTACTCACATCCTAATTTAACAAAGTGATGGGAATATGTCATCATTTGTGGCTGGGGTTTAGCTTTAGCCTGCTAAGTCACAAATATTAGTAAACATGCTAACCAGCTATGTGTTCAATAGTTACATACCAGCATTACCAACGCCTGACTTTTGAATAATAAAGTAAAACTTTAGTTGAAGTCTTCGTTTTTAACTGTTTATTTCTTCATGTCTGTGAGTTTTGGCCGCGTTTGTTCTTGAAATGCAGAAAAGGTGACGAGGTGGTTAGCTTTGAGCTAACCTGTTTGCTAACTCAGAGGCAGGGCGACTCCATCTTACTTTATACCACAACTTGTTTTTGATTAAGGCAAACAGCACCTTTGAAACTAATAAAAATGTAAAGAAAAACAAAAATAAAAACTTTATATTTTGTGTTTTTAAGTCTTATCCAGCGTGTAAATGTAAAACCTACGGCTGTGGCTGCTAGCGTGGCTCAACCTCTTGTTATACTTTTATATTTTTATCTGTCAGTTCAGTTTCCACAAAGTTTTCTTTTAAACTTTATTTTAAAAGATAGCTGCACGTAGCAAACAATTAAATCTGACTTTACAGAGAAAAACGAAGCGTTTGACAAACCATCTGAAGCAGAAAATAATTCAAACATTCAAAGAAGCTGTGGCAGATTTTAAGCTCAGACCGTCCGTTGTTTCTTTAAATGGCCTGAAATTAAACACCATCTTTCCTCCCCGAGAAGGGAAATGCTTCGGGGTTCTGGCCCAGTTTGTGACCCACATTGTTTGAATTTCACACCATGTTACTTTCAGAGGAGCTGAGAAAGACGGCAGAGACAGACGGTGACGGAGAGGGGCTGTGTGGGCTGACAACAAGCTGAAGCAAAGAGGGAGAAAATCCTGAGAGAAAGGAGAAATCAAACGTGAGGGGGCGACGGGGGGGGCTGTGATGTGAGGCCTGTTTAATGCACAGTGAACGGCTGTGACGTGCACGTCTGCGCGCCAACTAACACACACAAAATGGAGCGCAGAGGGAAGTGAAGAGAGGAAAGGGAGAGCAGATACCGAGCCACGTGTTCATCTTCTCCGAGCTGCAGTGCTCCAGCAGAGGCTGAATCAGGACGTCCAGATCTCCTTTCGGAGCCTCCTTGGTGAACTTCTGCTCGCACGGCGGACGCACAGCGAGGAAAGTGCAGGATGGAGGAGATAGAGGAGAGAGAAAAACGGTGAGATAACAGGAAACGATGAGACAGCAGAGCTCTGAGGTAAAACTGCAGAGTCAGCACGAGCCCCACGCCTGCAGGGCTGACCCCCCTGAGCGCACAGGTCCCAAGCAGACGAACCGCAGAATTAAAAGCACATGAAGCCTCCATTGAAGATGAAACAAGAGATTTGAAAACTTTCTACAAGTTCTGACCAAGGTTTAACTCGTTCAGGCGCAGAGTTTCTTATAAAAATGAACTTTTCACTGAGAGGGCCCGACCGAGTCCTTCCGTACATTGTGGAGTTATTTTGTGAATTCTGTTTCCTTTCAGGATAAAACAGGAAATATGACGTTTGCTCCCGTTTTCAAACAGGAAAACAGAAGAAAATCGTGAAAACAGTTAATTTAACGCATCAAAATCCCAAAAACCATCAGAATAAATGACGCATTTTATGGAGTTTTGTTCCTGCAGCTGTGAACATGGCTGCACCAACACCTGCGGCAGGTGTCCCGGGTTCAGACTATTGGTGATTAATTGTCATTCCTCTCAGAAAGTCACGCCTGTTTGGAGGATCACGCTGAACTTCTACAGAATCAGCATTTTACCAGAAGCTGCTACGAGATCAAATGTTCCGGGGGACGTCCACACCACGACGTTAGCTTCAGAGAGAGGATAGAAAAGCTCATCAAGAGCGGCTAAAACAACGACAACAAGAGCAGCTAAAACAACAAGACAACATGAGCAGCTAAAACAACAACAAGACAACATGAGCAGCTAAAACAACAAGACAACATGAGCAGCTAAAACAACAAGACAACAAGAGCAGCTAAAACAACAACAAGACAACAAGAGCAGCTAAAACAACAAGACAACAACAGCAGTTAAAACAACGACAACAAGAGCAGCTAAAACAACAAGACAACATGAGCAGCTAAAACAAGACAACATGAGCAGCTAAAACAAGACAACATGAGCAGCTAAAAGAACAACAAGACAACATGAGCAGCTAAAAGAACAACAAGACAACAAGAGTAGCTAAAACAACAAGACAACACGAGCAGCTAAAACAACAAGACAACAAGAGCAGCTAAAACAGCAAGACAACATGAGCAGCAAAAACAACAACAAGACAACATGAGCAGCTAAAACAACAACAACAAGACATCAAGAGCAGCTAAAACAATGACAAGACAACAACAGCAGCTAAAACGACAACAAGAGCAGCTAAAACAACAATTTTATGGTTTTTATTTTAATAAATGGACAAAACAATTAGTTTTAGAGAGTTAAAAGAGAACATATCTGCTCGTTATCAGGTTAGAAGATTATTCTGATTCAAATCAAACAGAAACACCAACAGATTCTACTGAGTCATATTTACAGAAACTGGTTCCAGTTCTGATCCAGAACCTCCAACAGTAGCAGAACCCTCAGTGGCTTTCTGTTTGTCTCTCATGGTTCTGGAGGAGTTCTGGCCCAATCTTCTTTCCATCATGGAGAGTTGTGCTCAGCTCTCTGAGGTCCACCGCAGTGGTCCAGTCAGATTCGGGTTCAGGCTCAGGCTCAGGTTCTGGACTCTGACTGGACCTCTGCAGCACCTTCATTCTGTTATTTTTGATGCATTCTGTTGTGGATCAGCTGCTGTGTTTGAGATCATGGTTCTGTTGGACCCAGTTTGGTCCAAGCCTCAGCTGTTGGACTCCAGAACCCTTTGGTCTCCAGAAGAGTTCTGGTCCACTCAGTGACTGACAGGAGCCCAAACCATCAGCCTCCACCACCGTGCTCATAGCTGGAGCTGTTTGCTGAAGGGCATTCTGGGTATATGGCCTATGGTCTGGTTCTGGTCCAGAAGTTATGTGGTTCCTTCAGATGAAGTGAGTGCAGTGGTGGAGCCAGTGGGTGGCCAACGGTGGCCCCCATAGATTAATCTTTGTCCACCTCATCCCTTTGAGGAGGCCGGTTTACACATATATGATGGCAGCCATCTTGGATTTTGATGTAGCAACCCAGTTTTTAACAGGGACCTTTCTTACTCCTAGATGCAGACACACACCAAATTAGAAGTCGGTACCTGACTTATTTTCCAAGTTGTCTTGCTCAACATGCACAGCTGGACTGAGGGTATTTCCAGTTCCCCAAATCGAGGTCAAACCAGAAAAATCCTCCATGACTCTTAAATCCAGTGGAAGCTGCAGTTTTCCAATTATTATATTTTGGTTTGTTTCATAAATAAGGACACAGTGAAATCAGTTTTCTGCACCTGAACTTAGATTTGAATCATTTTTAAAAAAACGTATCGTTTGTGTTCCAACTCTACAAGTGAAGGAGGGTGAACTTCTTTCTCTCCACGACTGTAAATTAATGCAGTTTGTCTAAAAATACACAAACACAGAGCCGTCGTTCACCTCTTATCATCTTATTCCTCGTTTTCAAACCTGCCCTTTGAATCTGAGACGAATCAGAATGAAAGAACATTTTTGTTTTTCGGTCTCGGCTCAACGTTTCGTTACTTGGAGACCAACGACGGCGCCCGACCGCAAAATTATCTCATTTATCTCGGGGACGCTACCTCGACTGTAATGTGCAGAGGATCCACGATCTGCCAGATCATGAGTGACAGGAAGTCGATGGCCAGCAGCACTCCAACTGTTGCGTAGAGTTTCCATGGCTCCAAAGGTTGCTGTGCAGAGAGGGGGGGTGGGGGGCACAAACACAAACACAACCACAAACAACGGTCATCACATTCCAAGGGCATCACGAGCCGCTCTGCAAACAAAGACAAACTACCCGGACAAATAACGCGACAGGCGTCCTTGTGATTTCTGGATGACTGGGCACAAATTGCCTTCCTCGGTGTGCGTGTCTTATCCGTGTGCGCGTCTGAGTGTATTTCAGGAGCAGCGGCGGTCCGTGTGTGCGTCTGCAGGCGACACACAGAAAGCTGCAGTGGCTGTATTTGCTCTGCCACCTGAAATCATCGTCTGAACGCGCTGCGATGACACCGTGTTTGTGTGGCCGGTGTCCAAAGTGTCGGCTCTGGTATTCTTTACCCCGGCTGTAATGGAAGCAGCGCAGCCGTGACCGAAAACAAGCAGCAGAACCCGAGTATCTCCGGTTGTCTCTGCTCTCCTTTAGTTCTTTTAATTCAGCCCTGCTGGCTCTTTACGGCACCTCTGCCACGGCCATTCAAGCGTGCGACGACAATAACCGAGGAATAAAATAAAGACGCAAACACATTACACAGTCCTGGGCGCCGCTTGTTGGGAAGAATGATTTGAAAGGCGGCCATTCTCGCCTCCGTTTGTGAGCGTTTCTTTACACACTGAGCTCTCTGGCAAATTGCCCTTCTGTGGACACAAGGAGAGCTGAAAGTCAACCCGATTCGATGTGCTCCAGCTCCAATAATAAACCCCCCGAAGGTCGGATTTCTGCACGGAACTTTAATGCTCATCCATATTCATAAATATTCCATAGATGCTTTAATCTCTTATTCTTCTGATTAGGTCTTAGAAATTCCCACAGCCATCGCAGGATGAGAGTATCTCTGGCTGCAGGATCTCTGAGAGGAGGCACACAAAAATAAATAGAGGTAGAAAAAAAACAATACTCTCTTATGACGTTGGAGCCGACGCCATCTGCATCCATAAATCTGCCTTTTTAATGTGCGTGTGTAGCTTTTACCCCCTAAGCCTGGACGTTTATGCTACGAGGAAGCCTGGAAAGTTTTCTGCAGAGCTTTAATCAGCTGACGCCACACATGCTGAGAAGCTCGCTCCTCCTGCCGTTGGTTTCTGCTGCGAGGCTTATCCCTCTGCGCCGCAGAAAATGGGACAAAATATTGTGACAGCAGAGGAGGCAGCGCTGGTTTTACATCCTTCTAACTGGAGGCTACTTTTCTGAAGAAACCTGATCTGGCAAATAATTACCTGATAGCTGAGTGATTGGTGGTGACCGTCTGCTGCCTTGGCTGAAAATTATCATGCCTACACTAACAGGTCGTTGAACTGCACATCTTATCAGCACGAAGTTAGCATCCCAGTGCTAACAGTTAGCATGTGCGAGGGAGGGATGGACAGGTGGGCAGGTAGGTAGATAGATACTTTATAAATCCCAGGGGGCAGGGGCGGATTAAAGAAAAAACTAACGTTCCAACATTAACTACTTAATATCCACCGTTTTAGCTGCTAGCATTATAAAGTTAGATACCACAGCTAATACCGTATACATAGTATTGTTTAAATTTATCTTCATTTATTTTCTTTTTTCTTCGTTGCTTCGATATGGCATTGTTTAAAGGAAAGGATATTGCCCGCTGCCTTACATGTTAAGTAATGTCAAATCCAGAATGGAATTCAAAATCTTACTTCTAACCTACAAAGCCCTCAACAACCTAGCTCCATCTTATATTACAGATCTTATTGTTCCATATTTTCCTAACAGAGCACTTCGCTCTCAGACTGCAGGCTTACTTGCAGTCCCTATAGTTTCCCAAAGTAGAATGGGAGGAAGATCTTCCAGTTCTCAGGCTCCTCTCTTGTGGAACCAACTTCCAGTTTCTGTCCATGAGACTGACACATGGTCCAGTTTTAAAACTTTCCTTTTTGATAAATCCTATAGTTAGGGTCAGCTTTTTATGCTGCTATAGACTTAGTGTACTAGAGGACAAATTGACCTCGTTTCCTTAAATGAATTGTTAAAATTGAATAGTTTTCATTTGATATTATTTCTATATTAACATGTGATTCTTGACCTGCCATTGTGTATCTGTTCCTACCAAACCCAGCTGGTCGAACAAGATGGCCGTTTGTTCTGAGCCTGGTTCTGCTAAAGGTTTCTTCCTCACAAGGGAGTTTTTCCTTCCCACAGTCGCCTTCATGCTTGCTCAAGATGAGAGTTCTGTGATGGAGTTAAATTCAAAGCAGCTCCTCAGATAAATAATGTTAAATTATTATTTTTATATATAAATGTTTCTGTTCAGTGTCCTGAGACGACTTCTGTTGTGACTTGGTGCTAAATAAATAAACTGAATTGAATAGGATCCAATAGCTGTGGCAGCCATCTTAAAATCTGCAATTTGTACAGGTGCATTTAATGATTAGTTTTTAGGAGTTTCATTAAAAAGCTTGTTTATGAAATATTTTGCTAACAGTGTTGACTCCAACAGTTAATGTCAAAGATGTTGCACAATGTGCAGTAACCAAAGTATGGGTTCTTGATTACTCTCAGCTACTACCACACCAAAGTTTTGCTCATATGAAATGAGCTGAAATAGCTACTTTATCGGTTGTTTTCTAACGTTCATCAGTTCTTGATTCAGATGCAACAACGATGACGTTCTGAAAGTTGTAATAAAGTTCATCCTGTGTTCTATGAGATATTTTACTAACAGACAAAAGAGTTGACTCCTGTATTTACTGACAAAGATTTAAAATCAGGGCGATCATTTAGCTCCAGGTTTATAAGCTACGATGACTCTGACACTGAATATCAGTTTTCTTTTTGTAAAATTGACCGAGTTAGACAAAGTCGTTTACCTGTTGGCGGCCATTTTGAATGTGGCTGACTGTTAACCCTGTGTGGATCACTTACTCAGGAGTTGGCTGTTCCTGCAGTCTGGTTCTTACCTCAACTTAAAGCTGACAAGGTCTGGAAGAGTCCAACTTTTGTTACGTGCAAGAACGATTTTAACATTTTAGCTCAGTTTGTTCAGAAGATGAAAACGATGAGAGCGATTCATCCGTCCACACTAGATGTAGCTTCTCCACGCTGATTTCTAATCAAGAAGTAGAAGATACCGTTAGCATTTGCATTACGCTTGGATGATAATCAAGGACTGGAAACTGAGCTGGTAAGTCGCAACTTCAGCGTCACAGAGCCGCCTTTTATACAGATAATTGAGATGAACTACACTTACTGTAGTCTTTTTCAAGAACACGAGTTGTTGCGACTGAGAAAACGTTGCTACGAAGCAGAAAAGGCGCTCAAAGAGTGTAGAGGAAGTATTTAAAACATTCCCAACATCTGCTTTACTTGGAGGCAGTTTTTGAAGATAAAAAGAAATGCTCCTAGCTGGGGATTGTTAGTCGTACTGTAGAAATGAACCCACATTCACCGTTTTACCTGCTGCTCTTTTGTTTTTCCAGCACAAGTTACAAAAACTGGGAGGTCCAAAATCAGCAAAATACTCCCCAGGTTTAATAATGTTTGTGTGTTGGTCACCACTGGTTAACCCAGTCCTTCTCAAATAGTGGGGCGTAACAGAAAATAATTGAGAAGCACTACCAGTTAGGGCTCAGTAAATGACCTTCTACCCCAGTTGGACGACTACAAAGCCTTCATTTAAATCTTATTTATAGCACATTAATCCTTGTTTTCCATCGTTTCTCATGCCTACCTTCTTCCTCTCCTTCTTCTCGTCCTTCTTGGTGAAGAGGGTGTGGACCCACCAGATCTTGGTGAACATGCTGCCGTATGCCAAGCTGAAGCCGAGACCGAGGAGCCACAGGCGGAACTACAGGAGACAGACGCAAGAAAAACGGTTTTCATTTTGCAGCCGCTTTCATCAGAGACGCAGTCGAGTTTTCTGAAGTGGGAGGAAAATGGAGGAAATGTTTGGATACATGTATAAATAATTCAGTTTACTTGGCAACAAGTGCTCAAGAATCTATTTAGACCACTTGAAGATATAAGCAGCAAAGATGTGCAGCATCATTTGCATGTTGCAGTTGCTTCCTTTGCTACCATCTTTCTGAGGGCGTCATCTGGTCGAGTTCCAACAGTTTGGGAGGATTTCCTGCATATGCTGAGCACTTTTTGGCTAATTGTCCTCTACTATGACTGTTGGCCAAGCATCCCTTTGAAAAAGAGATTCATCTCAATGGGAGATTCACCTGCGATCTGGAAACCATTTTAGACAACGACCTCATAAAGCTGGATGGCATGACGGCAGATGTTTTGATTTGATCTTAAACGAATCCCGTCTATGTAGCTTAAACGTCTGCCGGCACATTTTCACTCATTTAGCAGACGCTTTTATTAAAACCACCTACAAGTGAGAGGCAATATTCCAGCTTCAGTTCAGAGCGAGACTCCGGTGAGCCAAATCTATTTAAAGCAGAGGTGCAACAGGTGCAGAAGCACAAGGTCTACGCAGGTCAGGCGATTTAGAGCAGCAGAAGCAAAGGAGGTAAGATTTTATCTGAAGAGAGAGACGTGAAGATGGAGAGGGTAGCATTTGGATGCTCGTTCTACCTTCAGGGAACCAACGTGTTGTGAATCGGGACAAAGCTGACAAACTTAATATTTCTGCTTCCAGAGAAGGCACGAAACATAGACAGCGGTGGTTTTGTTCTAGGAAGCTTTTTTTTTTTTTTAAATGTCAGTTGATACTGTGAGAGAAATGTGGCGTAACCTGGGAAACTGCAAAGTGCTCGATGGCTTCATCTTTACTCGTAACGCAGATTGAAATGCATCGGACTCTTTGTCTCCATGACAAATGTTTAAAAATACCCATTTGTTGTGGAACGGCCTTAAAATACAAGACCTGACAGTAAAATATTTATTTCACATTTCAAATTCACTTAAGGTTCAGGTAATAACACTTTGTGGTTAAAACCCAAAACCTTCTTGGTTATATTTAAGCACCATTTAGGGGTTGGTTTTAGACACTAAATCTAATTGATTAGGTTTAGGCAGCATGTTTATTTTAGGTGCTAAAACTATATGGTTAAGTTTAGACAACACTGCTTTCTAGTTATATTTGGGCAACGCTGTTTTGTGATTAGATTTAGGAACTTTAACTACTTTGTTCGATGTAGACAACACTACTTCATTGTTAGTTTTAGTGTCTAAAACTTAGATGTTATTCAGCCAACTGGATTTTGTGGTTATACTGCTAAAACTACTTGAATTGGTTCGTTTTGGGCACTAAAAACAATCGATTCATGTCTCAATTTATTTTATACACTAAACATACTTGGTTGGGTTTAGACATTGAAACATTTTGATTATATTTATACAACACCATTTTATAATTACTTTAAGGCGCTAAAAAGACAGTTATATTCAGAGAACACCGTTTTGTGGTTAGGTTTAGACACCTTAACTAGTTTGTTAGAATTACTAAATACCACTTTATATTTACTTAAGAGGCATTGAGATCAATTAATAAGGTTTTAGGGAACATTTTATAGGTTGTTGTAGGCAGTAACAGTTCTTCCATCCATCCATCCATTACTGATTAACGGTTTACACACCTGTGACTACCTGGCAACGTAATCACCAAAATGGCTGAAAATGGTGGGAATTTTCCCACAAACAGGTAGATACTGTCAGATAATGATGAGTGGATAAACAGACAGATATATGGAGTAGAACAGGGTTAACGGGGGGAGGATGATGAAGAAGAAACGCAGGAATTCGTGTGATAGCAGCAGACTGAAAGTGTGATTTTGAGAAGATGAAGAGATTTCTGGAGCAGAGAGAGAAGAAACAAATCAGGGCAGAAGGTGAGAGGCAGAACAAAGCAGGAGAGAAAATAACCGGACAGGGACAAAGAGCAGGAAACCGACAGAAATGGAAATTTTCCTTCTCGCCTCTGTAACACAAAGACTCGACATGGGCGACACCGACACGCTCCCACTCCTCATTAGAGCTGGGATATCGTCGCCTGCATTATTCTGGCACATCAAAAGTCACGGCTGAGTATCAAAATACTTTAAAAAAACTATCAGGGTAAGAAGTTTCGTAGTTTTATGTGTAGATGATTAAAAAAAACAGCTGATGGGATGGCTGATTTTATCAGGAAGGAAGCGTTGGATTATTAAACTAACTCAAAAAAACGTCTAATTTAGGCTCTAAACTGTCAAAAGACCTCAAATATTTCAAAGTGAATTTGAAGCAACTTGGATAAAATGATGCAAAACACATTCAACATTTATATAATCGTCTGAGAATAAACATCTAGCTGAAAGAAGAGAAAACTGGAAGGTAATAAAATATATATATGTAAGACTGTCCATCACGGGGATCATACTCTAAACTAGTTTTCACAAACTTTTCATCTTTAGAGCCACAAACAAAAATCTCGAGGCTTGTCAGCCCAATTATTAAAGATTAAATTACACAAACATGGAAAATAAACATTTAATAAACTCATTCATCAACATTTGTATTATCTAATCACTGATAACTGTTTTATATAGATAAAAACTGTTGCTAAGGCCAAGTATGTGGCCGGCATTTGAGTCATTTGATTTCAGGACCTCTCATTGGTCTCTCGAGACCTGCTGGGGGGTCACAAGCCTAATTTGGGGAACAACTGTTCAAAACTATTTAAATAATTTAACCAAAAGAAGGGGAGTGAGTGTAGGGCTGGGAGCGATATATCGAGTATATTCGTTATTGAGAGATTTTCCAGGTAGGCCGGTCACAATAACAAATTTTGCTGGGCAATTAATTGGCTCAGAAATTATTGCGATAAACGATAATATTGTTTGAAATGAATTAATTTTTAATTATTAATTAAGAAGAAATGTTGGTTAATTTTTGTGTGTAGTACCTTTTTTGACCACTGGATGGCAGAATAAGACTGGATGAACTGAAGGATGGATAGTGAGGGAGCGAGCAGCGTGTCTCTTTAAGAAAAATGGGAGGGAGGCCCCTTGACGTGACATGGGCTGTCTCTTTCATTCCTGTTTTTCGGTTCTCAAAATGGCAGCTGCTCGGTTTGGTTTGAGCTCTTTAGCATAGCATTTTTCACACAAAGCTTTTAATAAAAAAATCAGTAAACAAGTTCTCAGCTTCTTTTTGCAGAGAAAAACAACTTTTTAGACGAAGGCACAGGTTTCAACCTTGAATTTTTGGAGCTTTGACAAGACTGAGGTTTGTTTTTCCCCGAGGTCGACCTGTTCACTTAGCTCGTAGCTTAGCTTCTCAGCTTAGCAGCTCTTAACGATCCAAAAACATGATTTTAGATGGTTAAAACAGATTTTAAAGAGAAGAGGGGAGGGGGGGGGGGGGGGTGTCAGTGAAGAGCATCGAAGTTGAGCCTTTTGTCATCCAGTGTCCAGTAGAAAGAGAGACACGAAGAAACGATAAAGCCAATAAATGAGGTTGATAATTTTCATTTATCATGCGATTATTTGATTTATTGTTTATCGCGACAGGCCTATTTTTAGGTGCAATTTAAAAATTACTTTATCACCAATAAGAAGTATAGATTCTAATCAGATTTTTGTTATTCACTAGGAGTTTGTTTTTTCCCAGGTTTAATAAACACATCTTACGTCACTTCCTTCCATCCTGGAAACCCCAGCAGACCCCCCAGCTCTTCTTCTGCCCAAAACTAAAATGGGCTCTGTGTTCATGTTTCAGGAAACGGCTCATTCTTCAGACGGTAAATGAGCGACGAGTTTAAGAAGAAAAACCATTCTGGGTTTTTCATTCACGAATGGTTTGACTTCAAACCACTTTTGGATTTGGCTTTACTTTGAACAAACTCGAGTTAATAACCTAAAACTGGCTCTGCTTTTTCATGTGGAAGGACCTCAGCGTTCCTGATTTAGGAAGTTTCTAGAAGTCAATGTGATAATATCAGAATTTAGACTCGTGAAGACAGTTAGCTATGCTGCTAATGTGCTAACAAAAAACACTACGAGATGCTGAGAAGCATATATTTTGACAAAAGGGCTGCAGAATGGACGTTTGGTCATAGGATGGACTTGTTGGTCAGAGGACGGACTTGTTGGTCAGAGAAAGGACTTGCTGGTCAAAAGATGGACTTGTTGGTTATAGGATGGACTTGTTGATCATAAGATGGACTTATTGGTTATAGGATGGACTTGTTGGTGAGAGGACGGACTTGTTAATCATAAGATGGACTTGTTGGTTATAGGATGGACTTATTGGTTATAGGATGGACTTGTTGGTGAGAGGATGGACTTGTTGATCATAAGATGGACTTGTTGGTTATAGGATGGACTTGTTGGTGAGAGGACGGACTTGTTAATCATAAGATGGACTTATTGGTTATAGGATGGACTTGTTGGTTATAGGATGGACTTGTTGGTGAGAGGACGGACTTGTTAATCATAAGATGGACTTGTTGGTTAAAGGATGGACTTGTTGGTGAGAGGACGGACTTGTTAATCATAAGATGGACTTGTTGGTTATAGGATGGACTTGTTGGTTATAGGACGGACTTGTTGGTGAGAGGACGGACTTGTTAATCATAAGATGGACTTGTTGGTTAAAGGATGGACTTGTTGGTTATAGGATGGACTTGTTGGTCAAGGTCATAAAAAAAATGGACTTTTAAAAAACTTTTTTTTGTGACCGATCAGAAAACACGCCGACTTGCAGTTAGATTACATCTTTTATTTTGGAGCTGGACTTACTGAGTCACTCCAGTTGTTGGGTCATGTGAAGGAACAATTGTTTATTTATTTATTTATTTTTGTTTTTTTTTTTAAAACTCATTCAAGGAACGAGGCTCTGAGGAATAAAGACATTAATATAATTTTGAAAAGAAGATTAACAAGAGTAAACGGCACATTTTATTAAAACTTATACAGCAACACAGTGATCTAAAGCAAGAGCCCGGACAAGCAAAGACCTTACATAACCTTTGACCTTGATTTGTGACCTTGACATTTGAGCAGGGGTGGTGAAAAGATTATGTGACATGTCAACTAGTGATGATGTACAGGTGAATGTTAAATTATCTTGAGCGTATCAGCAGTTATTGGGGGACAAGACGTACAGAACGTATACCGTTGTTAAACATATTGTTAAAGTAAAAACGCATGTGCAGCGGTTTGTGAAAAACAAAGGTCCAAAACTAAAGAGGGAACTCTTAGTTTTTGTTTTTCATTTGCTTCTTGTCTGCAGGCGGAGCGGCCGACCGGATCGCTCGGTTTGCTGCATGAAATTGTAACGTCACTGAGCTGTCGCAGGAAGACGGCGCCTAATGAGAGAAAAAAGACAAACTACTAAACTCGTGTCTTGTTAAGCAGTTAGAAATATGTGAATATGCTAATTAGCCCCGCTTCACCCCCCTGGGCTGTCACTTTAAGGCTAACGAGGCAGGGATAATGTCGGTCAGCGCCGGGGAAGCTGTGATTTTTGAAGCGGCTAAAACAAACACGGAGCTTATTATGTAAACGAGGAGGTTGTAGAACACGAGGCGCGCTCCGTTACGGTGGGTGACGCTCGTTTTGGGCCCCAGGTACCACTTTTCAGCGCAGCTCTTCCCGTTGCACATCTGTCCACTCCGGTTGGGGCCGTTCTGGGGGGGGGGGGGGGGGGGGGTTCCGCCCCGTGACACCCGGCGCAGATTGAATGAGCGGGAGTGGTCATTCGATAATTTAAGAGAAGCAGAGCAGAAAAACTGAAAACACGGAGCAGAAGTGTCACCTTTCACACCGACAGGACGTGTTTGTTACGACGGCTGAACACGAGTCTGTTTTTGTCTCCTCGCCCTCCATGAAAACTGTTACAAAGGTTCAAACCAGCTGTTCTGCAGGAACTTCTTCCTTTCTGCTCAAGTTTTAGTCAGAAAGACCCGCAACGACTCGGTCAAACGATTAAACTCTTTAAATGACCTTGAAATATTCATACATTTATGCTTTTTGTAGTTTTCTTGACATTTTAAAGTGATTTTAAATGTCAGAGCTTTCTCATCTTCATTCAGTTGGCCCTTGACCTCCATTTTGTTGTGATGTAATCAGTTTTCAGCCAATCAGGTGACTCGTCTAATTTGTGGATAAAAACAGGTCAATCTGTTCGGTTTTTTTTTTATCACTTAAAGTTTATGTTAATATCTGTTTCTGAAAACATGCAACTGAGGTCAGGCATTAAATTAAACATGTTTGGATAAAAATAAAAACTAACAAATGATATAAAAAGTTGTTTGTCAAAAACATGTTTTTAATGAGTAAACATAATAAAATAAATGAAAATGTTTTTATCTGTGCTCCATTTGTCAGCCTTTTAATTCATCAGACTTTATAAACGTTTAGTTTTTGTATTTTTTATTTATTCGTTTACTTATTTATGTAATCAATAATTGCATTATTTATATTTGTTTTCTCATTGGCATATGTATTTATTTCATTATTTTATCTTTGTGTTTTGTTTTATTGTTTTTCCCATTCACTCACTCACACAATTCTTTGTTTTTTGTTAATGTCTTAATTTATTCACTCATTTACAAATTTATTTAATGTTCCATTTGTTCAATTATTCATTCACTGTCTTGTTTATATTTTAGCAATTGAATTATTGGTTTATTCATTTATTCCTTTATGTTCACTCATAATGCATCTGATTTATTCACATAATATTTAATTAGTTTTTTTAACTATTCACACATCTAGTTAGTTACGATTTGTTTATTTATTATTTATCGTTTTTAGATTTATTCTTCTTACACTTATTTGTACAGAATTTTTTTAAAGTGTTTTTAAGGCTGTTAGCAGGTTTATGAAGTCTCTTTTTATCCAAAGAAATAAACTCAGCTCTGTTTGAAGTAAGATTTCTGTAGCCGTGACACACACACACACACACACACACACACACACGCACACCTGTCCTCTCTGTGCGAGACCTGTTACCTGGCAGACGACGGGGAACTGAGGCTTCTTGACGTGGTGACCATCGATCCCCAGCGGGAAGACCGCAGCCAGCGCCATCATGCAGCCCACCGCTGTCATGTTGTTCAGGTACGGCTGAGAGTTCTGGATGTAGCTGCAGAACCAAAACACGGTCAGAATCAGAAGATTAGAAGCTGCTTCCTGTCTGCAGGGAGAAATCAGTTGTACTTCTTTGTTTTTAATTCACCACTTGTCTTTTGTCTGTAAATGTGGGGACCCTCCGGGGTTTCCCCTCTCCAGGAACGGGTCTAATTAGTGTCGACAGAAGGCGACATCTTGTCTGTGCGACAGGACCGTCTCAGGTGAAACAAACACTTTTCCAAGGAAAATGTGTTGGAACAAAACGAGCACTCCAGAGCAGGAGAGAGCACCACTTTGCTCATTATTTTGAATTAACACAATCAGCACCGAAGTGATGATTTCTCTGAGTGATCAAGAATTCAATTAGAGCCCGATTCATGAAGTCCAGCTAAATATTTACATCAGCACAGCTCAAACCCATTTAACATCAACGAGGCCGTGATAAAAACATTAATCTATCATGCTGGGATAGTCTCCCACAGCAAAAACAGATACATAATCACATTTATTGTTAGATTTTTACACTTTTGGCTTCACAAACAGAATTTGTTACGGCTACACAACAGGAAAAAATAGTTTTAATGTTTGAGTTTTTTTTTTTTTATGAAACAAGCAAAGATTTGAAACTAAAAACCTGCTGATCAAACTTTACTGCAAACTTTTTAAAAAAGTTGCATTTAGGTTAGTTAGAAAACAAACTTTTGTTCATGTCCAACAAGAATGAACGATACATTTCAAAACTCCAAACTGTTGTAAAGTTGACCAAATTCAATAGTTTCTGACAATCATTTAGTTGTTTTTACTGTAGCCTTTAACTTTTTATAAGACGTACCCCAAGGCTCATGTTTCAGCCCCATTTCATTCTTTATTTTTATTAACAAAATTCGGATGAATTTGTCTACAGGTTCAAAGCACCTTTTTGCCAATGACACCATATTTTATACTTTAAGGCCGAGGAGCTTCAAACTGCCTTTCAGAACCAATTCAAACCTGGCTTTTTTAGGTAATGTCTAATAATATTCACCTAAAATACCAATCTGAAGATTTAAATTACCTCTCGTTTCTTAGAAATTATTTAAGATATTTCTTAACAACAAGCAACATGAATCTATTAATCTGTGCCAGTGTTTTTAATTAATCTTGATTTGTCAGCATTTTAGGATTGTTTAAATTGTTCAAATGTTTGTCCTTTTATTGTGTTTTTGATTTATGCAACTCTTTGACAATGTGTGCTATTCACTTTCTGTTCAAGTCCCTCTTGCAAAAGAAATCTGGAGCTCAGTGGGGTTTTAATCTGGTTAAATAAAGGAAATGTAACAAAATGACCTCAGACACAGCATCTGATATTCATCTGGCCTCTCTGGAACTGATATCTACAGCATGTTCATCATCTAAACATCATACACTTAAATTAGGAGTTCCACAGGGATCTGTTTTCAGACCTAAACTATTTACTCTCTACATGATGCCATCATTATCAGGAGACGCATCCGTTTTCAAACTCCAATTAAACAAGTGGTTTCTGTCTTTAGCCCTCGTCCAGTATCTGCGTTTAAAATCACGTCAAAATGTGTCAGTTATGATTAATGTGTGTTTATTAACAAGCTTTTTGTCCTGTCACTCTTTTGCTATATCAGCATGTCGTTATCTGTTGGCGTAATATCAGAGAAATACTGGAATAATTGCAGGCAATTTTAAATTAAAAAAGTATTTTTGAATCAGGGCGGCACAGTGGCTCAGTTGGAAAAGCTGCCGCCTTTCAGCGAGAAGGTTGACGGATCGAATCCTGGCCGGGGATGTGAGTGAGAGAGTGAATGGTTGTGTCTTTTATCTCTGTGTCCTTGTGATGGACTGGAGACCTGTCCAGGGTGTCCCCCGCTTCTCGCACAGTGATTGCTGGATATGGGCACCAGTGGCCCCCCGTGACCCAAAGAGAGGAAGAAGCGGGTAAAAGATAATGGATGGACGGATGGATGGATGGATGGATGGATGGATGGATGGACGGATGTTTGAATCAAAAAGCAAATCTCTAATGTCTATTTGATATTGTAGCCTTTTTAAGAATTTCAAGTTGTTTTAATTTTTTTACCCTAACTGCATAATTTCTGTATAAAATTCTTAAGTTTTCCATTTCACTTTTTTTATTTGTAAAAGCTGTTCTAAGACAAATATTGCAATTTACCTTTAGCTATAAACTTTTAAATTTCAGCTTAAACGAGCTGGTTTCATGTTATCAATGCGTTTTAAATCCCTGATAATTGTTAGGTTTTATTATCAACATAAAGTTTTTACAACGACATTTAGTCCATCTTAAAACTAAAAGTAAATATTACAAATGTAATCAAATAACATCAGAAAGCAGAGTCTTTACAGCTCCATGTGTTAATTTAATCATAAATCCTCTCAGTTTTATAAAAGTCATATGAATTCTCTCCTCCTGATTTACGACGCTTTCTCTGCAGCTCAGAGGCTCAGGACTTTTTAATCTTTCTTCTTGTTGACCTTCTCCTCTGCAGGATCTGCTGCTTATTTACTGCCGAGCCAAACGCAAACACGCATAAGTAAACAAACACATTTGCTGATGAACAGACCCCTTAATCCGACCTTTTAATTCCTCTAAAATAACCTTTCAATTTGGTGAATTTCTGCTGCCATAATCCTCTGATCACAACTCAGACTTTTGGGTTTTAGTTTGCACCACCTCCCCTCGCAGCTTCAAACGAGGAAAACTGTGATTTTATTTGTATTTTTGACTTTCTTCTTCTTCTGAGTTTCTATTTTTAGGGACAAAATAAGGTAATGTTGAATTTAAGACAACCAACAAATCTCAAACAGGAGCAACAACATCTAAAAGTAAAAGGCACAAGAATAAAGAGCTGGTGGAGCATTTTATAATTCATTGAGTTTTTAACAGCTCAGTAACTGGACTGGGTTTAAAAAGAGTGATCTCTCCGAAGTAAAGGAGGTTCACAGGAATAACTTTGTTAAACATAAAATTAATTTCAAAATGCTGCGATTTTGTCTTTATTTGTCACTTTAATAAGTTCCAAATCTCATAAACCTTCTGTTAGACTTAAAACAAAAATGTACAAAACAAGCTGGTTTATTGTATTTTTACCTTTTCCTCTGCTTTCTCTGAATTTTATTGTCCGGCTGTTTGTTATTTGGTTGAGTCCGGTTGTTTTAAATGTGTTTTATAAATACAGTTTGTCACGACATCAGTGCGGACCAGTACAGTTCAACAGTTAAAACCTCACAGCTGACGTCAGAAGAGTTTATTTTATTGTCGTTCTGTCCTCCGAGACATAAAGAAAACATCAAATCATCATTTCAAATTGTATTTTTTACTATTCTTGGTGTAAAACTCCATTTATTAAATGCTTAGTTATGATGCTGTCTATATTTTACTTTGATTTGTTTGTGATGAAATCAGCTGATTGAGGTATAACTTTAAGGTGAATTTTGTGTCCATCTAGCTGATTTGGTTTTGTGAAAATCCAGCAGACGGGAGCTCAGAGGGCGAATCTGTTTTCCAACATTAACTGAGCTTCAGGTGTGAAATCACATGAAGGTCAAACGCTCAACGAACTTCACCAAACCTCCCGGGACATCCGGAGGTCAGACGTTTCCGCCTCACGAGGCCGTTTTTCTGCTCTTTACGCCAATCGATTGTGTTTTTACCCTTCAACAAGCCGAAAGTTGCTTGTAAAGCAGCTGACTGAATAAATTAGGTTTGATCTGACTCATTCTGTTTTGGCAGTTTGGTGCCGCCCTGGGTGAAACTGAAACGTGATCAAAGCTGGACGAGGGCCCGACGCCAGCCGGAGATCCCCAGAGGGGCGAGACTCGCCAACTCTTCGCGAGGCTCTGATAAACGCATGGACTTCAGGGACTTAAAGTCCCTTTGACCCCAGTCAAACGTGAAAACACCTCCTTAAAAAGACATCAGAGATTCACTCGCTTGGCTCCTGCGAAGCAGATTAACTTTGGTTCATAAGACTAAAGAAAAGGAAAATCTATTTGCATTTGGTTTTGGGCAAAGATTAAGCTGCAACAATAAAATCGAACTTGGTTCTTTAAAAATGCATCTCAGCAGCATAATTTATCATAACTTTAAAAAGGAGCAGGTTATTTTTACTCCGTCTCACGTCTGACAGAAAAAGGCTGATGTGCGCTCCGAGTGTGAACGATGTGAACAATCGACAGCAGCCACAGGTTTTCACAAGATGTCATATGCGCTTTCGTTCTCCGCCTCGACTTTCAAAACTTTACTTTCAAAGTTTCAGATTTAGGTTGAAGGTCATCTGTCCTTGGAGCGATTGGGAAAAGGATCAGAACCTCCAATTCTGAGGCCATGGTCCTCAGTCAGAGGGTGGACTGTCCTCTCCGGGGCAAGGGTGAGGTTCTGCCTCAAGTGGAGGAGTTCAAGTATCTCAAGGTTTTGGTTTCAGTGAGGGAAGAATGGAGTAGGAGATCAATAGATGGATCAGTGCAGCTTCTACTGTATTGTGGACTCTGTTCTGGTCTGTTGTGGTGAAAAGGGAGCTGAGCTGTAAGGCTACGTTCCTACCCTCACCGATGGCCACGAACTCTGGGCAGTGACCAAAAGAATGAGATCACAGATACAAGCGGGTGAAATGAGTTTCCTCCACAGGGTAGCTGGACTCCCCCTTAGAAAGTTCAGTTCTCCAGGAGAGACTGGAATAGAGCCGCTGCTCCTCCACATCCAGAGGAGCCAGATGAGTTGGTGCAGACATCTGGTAATGAGGGGCCCTGGACACATCCAGGTGTTCTGGACATGTCCAACTGGGAGGAGACCCAGAGGAGGACCAGGACATAATGAAGAGACTATGTCTCTCGGCTGGTCTGGGAACACCTCGGTGTCCTCCTAGAAGAGCTGGAAGGGATGTCTGGAGCTCCCTGATCCAGTTGCTTCTCCAGAGACCTGACTCCAGAACAAGACGGACGGACGGACGAGTCAATGGATGAAAGGATGGATGAACAGATAAATGGATGGGTGGATGAACGGATGGAAATGAAAACAAACTGTTGCAGCTCTCTAAATAAATATTTTCATTTTAAAGAATAAGAAGCATTTATGGACTCACCGCACGTTTCCATTGTAGATGTTGAAGGTCAGGCAGACGATGCCAAGCAGGATGCCGAGTCCGGCAAACACAGAGACGGCTGCAAACAGCTTCTGGGACAGGTACCGGTACTCGTCAATGACCACGGTCCGATCGGCCGGAGGCTTGTTGTCTGAACAGAGACAAGACCGAACGAGGAGCGAGGCACGATCAATCCAACAGGACTTGAACACGCGCTTTTATTTTTCTTGGATTCATAATGATCAGGTAGATCCTGGAAGTCCAGTTAGAAACAAACATATTCACACACGAAAATATAAAAGCTGTAAAATATTCTGTACTCGTTTCAAAATGATGTTTGCTTCAGGACAGTTTGTATTAAAGAGGGGAGAGCTTTAAGAACATTTGTTTTTCAGCTCATTTTAAATTCATGCACAGAAAAAAACAACAACAACAAAACGCTGGAAGAGCACCTGGGGACATTTAAATAAATTTAGTAGTAATGCTGAATTTGCTGATAACAACAGAATAAAATGACACAAATTAATGAGACCATTTCTCAAAACAACATCATGGGAATAAAGAAGAGTACTTTTTGTGTTTGAGTGCAGAAAGGACCATCAAACTAAATCAAATCAAATCAAATCAGGCCAGGAGATCATTTAAACCACATCATTTTCATTTTGGCTGCAAACTGAAGGTTTTTATTTTATTAAAAGCTGATCATTCCTTGAAGAAATGCATGTTGCCCACTGTCTTTCATACCTGTAGGATTTCAGTGTTCTCCATCACCATACAGCCTCCGAGTGGCAGGGCAGAGCCATACCCCCACAGCTGATCCTGATCCTGGCTGACGAGTTACTGGTGCACGTAAGGACTTTTGGATTAGTTCCTCTCTGCTGGAACAATATGCTACCAACTGTCCTGACTTCATGGTTCTTCCTTGTGGACATCCAGTCTCCTTGTACCTGCTAAGCAGAACTCGTGCGTGGAACTTTCTCCTGGACCTCACCAGTCTGCTCGTTGTCAGCCAACAACCTCTCTGGATCAGTCTATGAGATCTGGCCTGTTACTCTGACTCATTCTACTCATCTTTCTCACCAAGTGCTGCCATCCATCTGGGAACCTTCACCCTCCTCTCCAGGCCTGCCAAACAAATGGGATAAAATTCTACCTAAACCCTTTGGACACTAAATAAAGTCACTTACCTTTACTTGAATGTGTCAATCGAGGGAATGACGGAGACATCGGTCCATACTGCTCTGGGTGCTAAAATAAATTAATCATGAAAGAACGTTCCAGCCAAGTCAACTCCCAGACTAAGACTGGCAGTAAGCAGATTCACCATTCAATTACATTACAAAATAAACGTATTGATAGAAATGAAAACACTCTCCAGAATCTTTCCATCAAAGCTAATATGGAGGAGCTAAAATGTATAATGTACTCTATCTGTTCTCTTGCCAACTACTAAACTCACCGTGTCACCACTCAACCTGAATCAGCTCCTGAACTCAACACATCTCCTGCTGCCTCCCTGGAGCCAGACATCTGACCTTCAGAGATTTTTAAGGTAATCCAGATCACTGTGGAGGATTTATTCTTCAATGCAATTTATTTTTTAATCGAGCTCCCGTGACCTACTCTTCTGACTCGGCCCGTATTACTTACATACTGGTAGTACCTGGCAACAGCCAATGCAAACATGTTCCTGTTTTTAGTTTTCTAAATCGCCTTGTGATCTGTTTTTTGCTGCCATTCCTCTTGATTGTCCTTTTGGTTGTTATTTTGTTTCGATTTGGGAAAAAAAAAAAGAAACTTAAAATTTGTATGCCTATTTTATGACTATCTTTTGTTGTCATTGTTATCCATTGCTGTTATCACTCTTTGTTAAGGAATCAGGTCTCTCTTGTAAATGAGTCCTCGAGGCTAACCTGTCTAAATAAAGGTTGAATGAATCAGTTCTCTTAAAGGTGAGGTACTTCATTGGATCCATGCTTATCTCTCCTCTCATCTTATTGAGAGTTTAACTTTACAAGCCTTTATAAAGGACTTTCTCCACATGTTCGGTTACTCACTCCAAGAGGAAGCAGCAAAGAAGTTGTCACTCCACCAAGGGAGGATGTCCATATCAGAATTCTCCATCTGCTTCTGGATTGTCACGGAAGAGTCCGGCTGGCGAGAAAAAGCATTGAAAAGTGCGTTTGTCAATTCTTACAATGATCAGATAAAGGGTCAGTTGGCCACCCAAGATGTACCAGAAGACCTGGATGGATGAAGAATTAATCTTGCCATCTGGACTTGAACACCGCCTTCAAAAACGACACAAGGAAAAGAACTACAAGTGCTGTGACTACCCTGTTCAGACATTTTTGGAACAAGCCAACCCAGACCCGCCAAAACCTTTAGTTGAGGCAGAGCTCGAATTGATGCAAACTGACTGCACTAAATCAACACCGGAGGAGAGACCGCATCAAATAAGCAACAAAGAATGCATCTACTCCAGTAAAAAGGTCACTTTATTGCCTCATGCCCTGCCCATTTAAAATTATATTACCATCAGTAGTCCAAGAGATATTGGTGGGCAACTCCTCAGTCTCTCCTTGTTTTCATCTCGTTTTACCTACTACAGTTTGTGTTACTGTGATGAACCGCCGCATGTTAGCTCTGGAAGATTCAGGTGCCAAGCCAAACTTGATCTGTAAAAACCCAATGGATCAACTGCAAATACCAGTTCAAGGCCTAACTCAACCTGTCACTGTTGATGTTCTTTCTGGTCAGGCCAGTGAGACCGTCATCTCTTCCATCCCCTTCATGACTCACGTTTTCCATTTTGTGATCTCCGGGAACCGTCATGAAAAGGGTGAGGTTTTTTTCGTGTTTGACTCCCCTACTTCTCATTTTATTTTGGGCTACACCTGACTAAAGAGACAATCAGGTAATGAGTTGGGAAGAAACTTGAACAGAGAATTGGAGTAAAACATGTTTTTTGAAAAATGTTTAAGACCAGCTGTTACATCATCAGTCAAGATCCCAGAAAATCCTGAAAAGACTTATGTTACTAAGATTTCTCCTGGTTATCACAGTTTGGCTCCAGTACTCAATAAACAGAAGGCTCTCTCACTACCACCTCATAGGCCTTACGACTGCGCCAGTGATCGCCTTCCGGGCGCCCCTTTGCCTCTTAGCTAATTATACAATCGGTTGGGTCCTGAGAAAGAGACAATGAACTATAATGCTACTAGCATCAGGAATCATTTGGCCCTCTACGTCTCCCGTGGGGGATGAATTCTTCTTTGTGGTTAAGAAAGACAAGACCTTAAGGCCGTGTATCACAGAGAACTGAATCAGATGGCAATAAAGAACAAGCATCCCTTACCACTTATTGACTCTATTTACAAACAGCTCCACAATGCCACTATCTTCACCAAAATGGATCTTCAAAAACACCCCTGGGACATTTTGAATATCTGAATATGTGTTTTGGCATGACAAATGCCCCCAATGTCATACAGGCTTAGGTCAATGATACTTTCCGTGATTTCTTGAACATTTGTGTGTTCATTTACCTCAATGATATACTCATTTACTTGAAAGATCCTCAGCAACACAATTCATTTTTTATTAGTCTCTCCGTGAGAAATGTTTTGGATCGCCTACAGCTGATTCTTGAAAGGGGGGTACTGTAGGGTTCCAGTGTCCTCTCACTTCCTTACACCCACTGAGTGGCAGCGTGGAGCCATATCACCACAGCTGATCCAGATCCTGGCTGATGAGCTACTGGTGTACTTAAGGACTTTTGGATTAGTTCCTCTCTGCTGGAACAATATGTCACCAACTGTCCTGACTCCGTGTTTCCTCCTCATGGCCATCCCGTCTCCTTGTGTCTGCTAAGCAGAACCCCTTTCTGGAACCTTCTCCTGGACCTTCTCCAGTCAGCCAACAAACAACCTCTCTGGACCAGTCTATGGGTTCCATCCTGCCACTCTCCAACTCTTTCTACTCACCTTTCTCACCAAGTGCTGCCATCCACCTGGGATCCTTCACCTTTCTCTCCAGGCATGCTAAACAAATAGGATAAATTCCTACCTAAACCCTTTTGACACTGTAACAAGAATCACGTGCCTTCTACTTCACTGTGTTTTCTCTGTCAGTCCACACTACTCTGTGTACTAAAATAAATTAATCATAATAAGGCCAGAGTTGTAAACTAAGATCAGCTTATCTTGAACAAGATAACATCATACAGCACACGAGTTTTTCATGTTTCATGGGCAGGACAAAAGAAAGTTTAGGTACATAGAGAGTATACCATAATGCGTCCGGAAAAAAGGGGAAATAAAACCCTCAAGACAACTTTGTATTTTGTTAAAATAGATTGCTGATTTTCTCATTGGACTCCTGTGACATTAGCAAAGTTATTATTTAAATGACATTCGCATTTTGTTATGTTTGATTTGAATTTATTAACAAGAAAGACTAAAACGGAGAAAAAAAATTAAGTGAAATTTAGTTGAACTGAATCTGGGTGATGTTGATCCCTTTTCAAGTAAGGAAACAGATTAAAATGTCTCAAGTTGTTTTAAAAAGCAAAACTGAATTTATATAGGACTGATTAATTAAGCAAATCATAAAATCCCTCTAAGTCTCTGCTTAGAGTTTCTGAAACGACTTGAACCTAAGAGTATAAGTAGCTGAAATTTTAGATCTACATTTTTCTTTTCTTTTTGTTAAAATGATCAGATTTCACAGTTTTCTACACAGGGACGAAGGCTGGTTTTGCCCTCGGAGATGCTGCTGACTCCATGTGTGGAACTTTTTTCAAGTGGAAACCTTAAAAAAAATAAAAAAAATACATACTGCCTGTGGGATTTCAGGGTTAAAGAAACGTGTGTGTTTATTAACTACCAAATTATTCATGCTTGTGTAGCTTTACAGCAGAGAGGAGGGTTCAAAGATGGGCAGATGGACAGGGAGTCTTCCTCCTGTCACAAGCAGTGTGTCTGACTGTCTGCCTGAACATTTTATGTTCATATGCAAATGTGGACTAAATAAATCCCACACGTATGTGGATCCAGACTCTGAGCATGAGTGAACAGGTTCAAGAGGGTACCCATGAGTGCTGCGGAGCGTTTGAGCGTGCACCGAGAGCAACTCCAGTTCATATTTTTT